ACACACACACACACACACACACACACACACACACACACACACACACACACATACCTGTGTGCTCTGGCTCGCTTCATCTCGTCAGGTATGACATTGTCCGGCGGTTTCTCCACAAGAGGCTGGCGCCCAAACCGGGAGAGCAGGCCTCGAACCCAAGCCCTCGAGTTTGCCTCCAATGTGCGGTTGAAGTACATGAGTATGATGTAGAAGCAGTAGAGTAGGACCATGATAAGGGCTTCATACCTGAAAAAATGCCATGATTTAATTTGATTAGTCTTTATTTCCTGATTTCAAGGCATCCAATACAATATGGTGCACTGTCTAAAGGTGTATACTTATATAAAGTTCGGACGTTTCTTGTAAGAACTTGTATGCGGTTAAAACTATACAGAGGCTTTCCATCGGCAAGTTGTTAGAATGTACTAAGCAATGAAAACATTCTTTTTTTAAGTAGAGAGAAACAACTGTTTTGTTCTTTCAATAACTTGTACCTAATCTACATTTATGTATTTTTTCTTCGCTTTTTCAACATTTAGAATTTGAATTTGAATTTCAACAAAAGGTTTCTTCGGCACAAGCAACCTATACCACAGTTGAAGACTCTGCATTGAATAAAAACATTGCATTTTGGGCTTAGTACTTTGCAACCGGTGGCTGATGGTCTTTTTTTGCAAGATAATACATTTATTCTTGGAAAAACGCCCACGCACGTACAAATCCTGTCACAAGCAGTGGAACAAAGAATTACACAACAGAAAATCTTACAATTGCAGCAAAATATTCTAATCGTGTTTTCGAAGCACACTGTCCAATTTGGAAGATTAAGGTAATAATCTGCATTACCGTTCCTCTTTCAGAACGTACAAACCGTTTAACGATATTTAGTTATGCTAATCTGTTCTACCATCAGATGTTAAAACCTTGCTTACCACCATGGGTCAATACTTTGATGATGTCAAGCACAGGATGATTGATTGTAAGCTCCAGCTTAATGAAAATAAATTTGAAATTCTTTTATGTAACCCAAAGAAAAGCCATATCCCCATAGACATTGATTATATTTGTACTGAAAATGTAAAACTGTATTTTACTCAGAAAACTCGGTTAACTCACCAGTTGACGTGTTGGTCCATGATAATGAGGAAGAGAGTGAGCACAGAGAGGAGATAGTACAGTGTATCTCGCACCAAGGGATACCATGTCAGCTCAATCACCTGATGACACACAATAATAATAATATTAATAAAAATAATAATAGTAATAACAATAATATTAATAATAACTATGATGATGATGATAATAATGATAACAGTAATAATAATAGCAATAATAGTAATAACAATAGTTCTACTTCTACTACTACTACTGCTGCTGCAGCTGCTGCTACTACTACTACTACTTTTACTACTACTAATAATAACAATAGTATTGTATTTTCCCATACCAGTATAAACTCTGAGTGGTTTTCATGGATGATATGATTACCGAGAGTACTCCCCCACCCCAACACAGTCAAAAGTAAAAAAACGTTTCACGTTTCACATAAACGAGAAAACTAGTTCAAACACATGAGGAAGAACTTTTGTTTTAGTTTTAGTAGAGGTTTTACGGCGCTCGCAACTGCATAAGGTCACATGAGCGCCAAAAGATTAGAGGTGTTACAAGAGAGTAACAAACATAAAAAATGAGAAGGGGAGATAAGGACGATATAATTTATGTTTGATAGGAAAGAAGGGAGGAAACCGCACCAGAGCACCCGCCAACCACCCACAGAGAACTTTCTCAGCCATATGATAATTATGTACACATAAAAACAGCAGTGATAACCAGCCATGATAACACCTGCTAACAAACTCCAACTTACACTTAAACAACAAGAACGTAATACTAAGATATTAGTTAGTGCTATTGCAATTAGTTCTAATTTTCTTCTGAACAAGGTTTAGAATAAATAAATAAATTTTAAAAAACGAGCTCGGAAAGGGGGGGGGGGTGATTAATGCCACAGTTTATCCTTATTTGTTTTGTAATATCTTTAAATGTGCAATTACGAACGAGAAACGGATCATTACTTAATTTTGCATAATAAAATTGGCAGCTACGTCAGCAAGTAATCTAAAATCCTAATCTTGAGAGTGCAAAGATTGGTACCCGTGGACTAAGACTTCCTTGGTAATAATTAATTTTCTCTTCGTGCGCACTTAGTTTGCCATAATGTCGGGGCTACAGTGCGGTCGAACTAATCGTTCCAAATCTTAGACTAGTCGCTTTATAACTTAAAACTATTAGGGGAGTTTTCTTCTTCTTTTTCTTCTTCTTCTTCTTCTTTTTCTTCTTCTTCTTCTTCTTCTTCTTCTTCTTCTTCTTCTTCTTCTTCTTCTT